CGTGGAGAAGCGGTTCCCGGAACCGTGAGTAATCCCGACGACAATGACGGTACATTCGACGTGGAGAATCTGGAGCGAGAATGCGGGTTGCACACTGATCGAAGGGAACGGGCGCTCGCTGCTGTCAAGCAGCGGCACTCTGATACTCGGTGACGGCGACTCACCGATAAATCGCAGCACGATGAAGACGCGCGCGGGCGTCTCTCTTATACGTTGACCGCGAACAAAGATTAGGATGCCGAAATAGGACGCGGGAGCGACGAGCTCGAACGAACGAGCGGAATGTACGAGAGGAGAGAGCCGACGATCCGCAGACGCCTTGTTAGTTACTCGTTATGGTACTGCTATACTTTCCGCGGCCGACAACTGTCACGCACAAAATGGCCATTCGCCGTTAGTAGCTTGGCACGAGGGCCTGGAGACGGCGCGCGCGTTCGCTTCTCTCTCGCCCAAGCCGACGACGAGAACGCGATTCTCCGGTCCGGTCGCTGGCCGCTCGGTACCTTCTCGGTCTCTCCTCATTTTTCCGCGCGTTACGTATTCCAGTCGCTTTTCGAAATTTTCGCGCACGTATACACGCGACAGATAACGCGCGCGGAAAACGGATTTCACGCGCTGTCGCTCAGATGGCGCGGCAACGCGATTTGTTTGTCAACAGACGACGGATCCGTGCGAGACACTCTCCCTCGATCAACGTTGCGATTTGACAGCTGCTCTATTAATAGGCAGTTGCGAGGCGATTTTGTATTCACGCTCTGTTAAATCGTCGAAAGTTAAGCTTGATTAGAATGGTTCCAAGTTTTCGATTTAAATTTGGCTCATGTCAGTCATATTGCATATCGTATTTTTAATTGCCCTCTCAAACAAAATGTATAATTCAACCGATTCTAATACGCACGAAACTCATCTGTTCCTATATATAATATCAAGATGTACTAATGACAAAGTTGCCATTAACCTATCAATCTTTAAAATTTCAGCTCTTTGTTCTCAAAATGATCAGAGACAAGTTCTTACAAAAAAGCGTTGCAACACAATATAATGCCGTTAAATGGCTCGTGACACAAACGAATATGTTATTTACTCCGTACATGCATAAACGTACTGTACGAACGGCGAGGCAATTTTTTCGAGCCGCTCTCTTTGTCTTTTTGTTATTTTTTCTTTTTTTCTTTTTGACGTTACGAACTTCGCGCACCGCTCCGGAAGATGGCGCGAAACGGCGCGAAATTTCCCGAAACGAGGAAATCGTTTGTCAACAGAAAAATCATTCCGGGTATTCGTCTCGCGCGCACGATTCCGAGAGACGATGATCGTATTACGTACGTATGTACATACAACACATGGACTAACGCGTCGCGTCGGCCCGTTGCCGCGAGCGTTGCCGAGAGAGGCTGAATTTAGGGCGTAGCCCGTGCGCGCGGCTCGGCAACGACGCGGCCTCGCGCCGAGAGCCGAGACACGGCTCCGCGATGCACGGAAACCCGCTTCCTCCTTCGCGTAATGTTCGGTCACGTCCGTGAGGGTCAGTCCCGCAAACGTTGGGTCGTCCTTTTTCAGCCAAGCATTCTTCGCATTTCAAATGAAATATCCATAGATATATCTTTACGGAAGAAAGAAGAACGTGGATTTTTTACAAATAAAGAAAAGTAGGAAGAATGAGCGACTAAGGAGAACCTTGTACGGCGTTTTCGATTATGCGAATCGGAGCTAATAATATTTATAAAAAACATCCTTATGTGTTCTATAATTCTGTCAATGGAATTAGAAATTTTAATCTAGATAACGTGTGTACGAAATAAAGTTTTGCGTTAAATTAAAAAGAACGAGTTGAAAATCTTAGTTAACTTTGTAATGGCACAGATTATAATTTATAATTAATATTTCTCGGTACATAAATTATATATTGTTATCAAAAGAATTATAGATTGTCCCGACTTATTCACAAAAAGTAAAAAAATAAAATAAAATTCTGCAATTGTTTGTTAGTAATATTTTCTCTGACATAAACATTCTTCTTTTATAAAAAAATATCATTAACATTAATATATTTTTAATACTATTAAGTATGACAAACAATTCGTTTTATCTTTTTTTTTTTTTAATATTTAACAAAATTTATATCATTCTAAATATATTTTTCTTTCCTATTGTTAAAAATGCTTATAAATCCCATGTAATTGCAACAAGTTTTTTCTTTTAGTAAAAAAAAAAAACAATAAATTTAAATCAAGAAATTAATTCAGAACAATCGCAATATGTACATCGAAATTCGTAGCCTTTTGCGAGTGACCCGGTAAAGTTTGTGCGCGCGGGATTTTTCGGGGACGAGTTTGCCATGTTCCGGCAGTTCGATAATCGCGCGCGTACTCAGTAGTATCACGCGGCAACGAGGTCGGCTTGAATGGCCCGGAGAACGCGTCGCTGCGAGAGACGGAGATTCGAATTTTTTTTTTTTTCCTTTTCTTTTTTGTTGCGCCCTCGGCAGGGGAGCGAGAGCGCGCGCGTTACGTCGAAGCGGCTATAGGCATAGTGATCGAAAATGGCGGGAAGAGAGGAACAGAGGGGGAAGCGCACACAGGGAGAAGGGGGACAGAGAAAGAAAGATAGATAGATAGATAGATAGAGATAGAGACAGAGAAAGGAACAAGAATGAGAGAGGGAGAGGATTCGCACACTCGCCCGAAATACACCAAATGCTCTGACAAATCGATAAGCAGTGAGAAACGAAGCGGGAAATGTGGCTACAAGCTCTACTCGCGAATACAGCATCGGACAAGCAAAGATGAAATACAAACTCACTCCCCCCAGTTCCTTGATCTTTGCTTCTAGCTTGGCCGCAGTGACATGGTTCTTTATATCCAAATAGAACGACTTCTTTTCCAAAGGTTTCAGCCCCTTTTGTATACGTACATCTATAAAAGAAGTTTTAATTTTATTCATTCTAGCATTGCGATACGCGCGCGCGCGCGCGAGTTGATTGTTTTGTAGATATGATATGGCATGACAGAAAAATATATTTTTCCATTGTCCATCTGAATGAATCAATTGATATGTGTAGGGTAGAAAATGAGAAATATTTTACACAAATATTTTCAAAGAATATGATAAAGTAAAAGTGTCTGTCTACAATTAGTATTAATTGCTGTCTTATATATTTATACCAACTGCTGTACAAATCACATGATACAGACAAATTGGTGCAGCTTCTAATCAAACAATATTAACTCGTTATTCACATCCAAAAGAAGTATTATAAACTGGAATAAAATGAATCATCATGCTTATTTGAGCTATACAATAAGAGTAATACTGGTGATCACTCAGAGTACTCACTGGCAACAGTTGCTTGCGTTACTTGCACATAGTGTCCAATTTAACATAGAGAACATCTTGATCTTTCGACTTGAAATTCAATTTCCTCAGTATATAATAATATAACAATATACATATATATATATAGATATACCAAATAATATCTTTGCAAAGGAATTCCGAATAATTCTCAGTGATCACTAATCGTCCCTTGTGTCATGTGTATATATATGCGTGTATGAATGAGTCAAGAAACATACATAAACGTACGTTAACAAACATTCCTGGCGATGTCCATTAACGCCCGGCTTGATACGTTATTATGCAACGCGGAATAACGGGATTACTTACATGACGTTCGTCGCGGATTGGATTTGTTCTCTCTCGACGGTTGTTGTCTGTGTTGTTGTTGTTGTTGCTGCTGCTGCTGCTGCTGGTGTTGGTGCTTGGACGGCGATACCATTCCTAAGCGATGATGATGCAGCACCGCACGACGTACCGCAGCGACGTTATCCCTGTCTCACTTTCTTCCCTCGTCGTCGTCGTCGTCGTCAGCGGCGGCGGCGGCGGCGCACTTCCCATCCTCATCGACACACCGAGTAACGTCGTAGAGGCGCGGTCGCATGCTCTATCCCTTGTACGGTTTGTCTCTCCCTCTCTCTTTCTCTTGCTCGCGAAAATACACGCCGCACAATCTTATACAATCGAGGATACGCTCTATCGCGGCTAGCAATCTACGTATCGTCGGTCGTCGCGGATGGATTGCATCCTCGATCAACGTAAATCGTCGAAATCCGGATCGTACACACTAGCTTCGACTCGCTCTCCGCAAACTCGTACTGTAAACTGAAACCGCGCGTGCGCGCTGAAGTTAGCAGCAAGAATGCGCGGCGACCGCCTGGCTAGAACCAGGCTGGCCAACCCTCAGCTGTCACTGTAACCAACCAATGCAACGAGCACGATCAGAAAAAGATTTTTTGGAAAGAATTAAAAACACAATCATATGCGCGTCTTTTTTTCTGCAAAATATTTTCATTTATGGATAGTAATGTTAGAAAAAAAAAATTGTTGACCGAAAATTAAATTTATTTATATTTATTATATTGCCAAATGCTCGAAACAAAAAAATATAATCGATATATAATAAGAGATTTGTGTTAATAATAATTTTAAACATCATATTTTTTTCATTTTATAAAACTGTTGTACACGAGATGTGTAATGATTAATATTCATTGCATTTGCAAGATTGCGAAAAGTTAGCACTTATTTATGTACATATATCGAATAATTGATTGATTTAGTTACATTGGCGTGAGAAATTTTTGAATTCGACATATTATTTGTAACTACATTCATTTTGTTAAATGATGGCGCTGCTGGCGGTTAACATTATTTTTTAAAATATGGATTTTGCTCTTATAAAAATATGTGAGTGAAAATAAATTTTTATAGTTTTAGTCAAAATTATGACTAGTATGATTGTAACACACATACACAATTCAAAAATTTATTTTTTTCAATTTAAATATTTTCAGATATAATGCACTTACAAATTCAAAAATATATTTACACATAAATAAATTTACACATTTAACAATTAAAATTTATTATATTTTATAATTAAAAACAAGCTTAGAAAAATATAAACATTCCTTAATTTTTTGCGCTTTTAAAAATAGTATATAAATGCAGATGAGATTTTACAAAAAATTTAACAGATATCTTTGCTAAGCATCCTATTATATATCTCTTTGCATCTAAATACTAATTATAAATTATTGTTAGTTATAATATATTATTAAGTATCGTCAGTGTAAACATTTCTTAAACAAATGTTCAACATATAACAATAAACAAATATTATCATCTACAATTATATGGCTTCCACAACCATTTACAATCCTTATTGAGATTTTTTACATTAATGTACAATATAAATATACATATATATGAAAATAGAAACATGGAATTACTCTACAAAATTCAATCAATTATCATTCAATTGAGTAATTTCTTTAGATTCATTCAGTTGTGTGATAGTAGAAACATTTGTAGTTTGTTGGAGTTTTTCTAATGATGGAACAGTCTCTAGTACTATTTTTGCTTCTGCTTTATGTGTATATCGATAAATTAACTTTATTATGTATAGAACTGTTAATGGTATTGGTGTCATAATTGCAGTAGACACAGGAAGCACTAAAAAAAAGTGCATTTTATTAGACAATTAAGATAAATACATGTATATAAGTATTTGTATAAACTTACCAGTAGTTAGGTCATCGGAAGGTGGTTTTAATGTAAAACGTAACAAAAAAATGGCTACACCAGTATTCTGAATACCTGTTTCAATAGCTATTGCTCGTATGTCGGCTTGGGATTGCTTACAGATTTTCGCTACTATAAGACCAAATGTAAAGCCCAACCAAGGCAAACCCATTCCTGCGATTATAATCTGAAACAAGAAAATAAACTTGTGTACTTTGCATACTGATATTTTATTTGTAGATTTATCGAAGAAAAATATTAGCTTACCTCCCATGAAAATAGTTTGAAAAGGTACAAATTAGTTGTAATAGCAAATATAACAATGAATATAATTAAAACTATAGAAAAAGGTTTCATTATCCGAACTAACATCTTTGATACTCTTGGAAGCTTTCTTTGGATGACAAATCCTATAAGCAGTGGAATTACGAGACCAATCACAAAAGTGCCAATTTGACTGTAGGGTACCGCAAGTTGTCCCTGTGCAAAAATATGCCTGCCCAATGTAAAGATCCAAAACGGCATCATTCCTGCAAAGAATAAAATTTTAAATTTTCGTTAGGATGTTATACGCAAGAATTATCTTTATTTTTTAGTTCCTTACCAAATGCAGCAATGGTACATATTGTGGTCATTGTGATTGAGAGATTTAAATTGCCATCAAGTAATACCGTCCAAATATTAGAAGCACCACCACTTGGACTTATCCCTGTGAAGAACATGCCTATTTGCAGTTCAGGACGATCAGGAAATAAAAGGTATCCAATGAAAAAACTTAACTGGAAGTAATATGAACTAATATAAATTTGCAGAAGACTTGTTTGATAAAAACTATGGAAAATATCTATCTATCAGCTATGCAATACTATATCTACAATAAAAAAATTTACCACTGGCATAATCAGAAACTGGCAAAAAAATCCTATAGCTGGGCCTATTGGCTTCTTTAATGTATCACGGCATACATCCCAATCCATTGCACAGCCAAAATTAATATATAAGATAGATACAAGTATTGCAACACTGGCAGTGAATATGGTATCTATTGTGCGTTCTTCTCGTACTACAATGATACGAGAGACCTCCTGGCTGTCTTTAACCTAAAAAGAAATCTTTATTATATCTTTTAACAAACAATGCCAATTACTTACTACTTAGCACTTACCCCATCTTCTTCCAAAGTAAATATTAATTTTGTTCTACCGAGAAACACACCAGTAACATTTAAAATGCCATTACAAGATTTATTTTCATTCTGCAGCAGCTCAAAACTTGGTATCGCGATATCATTGTCCTGACTAGTGACGACCAAGGACAAATTGGATGATAAATTATAGTCAGGTATGTTAAATGGAACTGATGTTACATGATTCATATGTACAGTTATATCATGTACAATATCAACGGTCCATGCTGCTACTCCTCTCAATAACAACAATCCTATTATGCATTTGGCACCCGTCATTCTCTGTAAAAAAATAATAAATAAAAGAAACAATTAATATATGAATCCATTCGTTACCTTAAAAGAAATTCACAGTCTATTACACAGCAATTATCTTTTGCACTTAATACTAAATATGATGCAAAATTCAAGCAAATGTCAAATTGATAAGGATATAATAAAAAGGTAAATAGAAGAAGAAAGAGATAGATTGAATAAACTATGATTAGATAAGTATATTAAACTGGTGGCAGAATAATATAATATACAAATCAATTTAATTGCAGTAAGGAAGTTCATACCCCTCTTTTATAGGAATTGAATATATTCCATCCGAAAGAAATTATCATATTTCTCGGATAATCGGATAATAAGCGATTTTCAAAATTTCAAGCGAGACAAAAAATTGCGATATACGGTGATAAAACATACACAATACGTACATGTATCTTTGCGTGCATCGAGTTTGTATGCCTTGACATTATTTACCGCCGCGTAAGAAATTATATATAAGCTCATCGGCATAATCGTGTTATTTCTTTTTTATTATACTCGAGTAAGTACCAGTAATATAAACGAAGTCACGGTTTGCGACCGCGAAACGTACATTATAGCTAAATTGCATAATCAACGCGTGATTGCATTGCAGGTTGCAAATAAGACGGATAGTGGGAGACGCCGTTTGATCGCCGGCGATTCCATGAAATCTGTGACTTCGCTATAAATATATACGACATCGTCGCGCTACTTTCGCTCTTTGGCTTGTCGGAGAGATGCACTATTATTGAGACACACTAAACGCATCAAGCACGCCGCTATTTTCGCAGATACTGCTTGCACAGGCGAGTTGCAACGCCAATCGGTTCGCCAGGCTTTGGTATGTTTTTTCCATTTTATTATTTATCACTCCGTCGATTGACACTGAACCTGAGATAATCAATCAAGCACAATCTTTATGCGGAATGACGGATTTATCGCGTGCGTGCGCGCGATTATAAACAGCTGATTTTTTTTTGTTTTAAGGAAAATGGAATGTAAGGTTAAAGTACATTTAAAAAAAAAAAAATAATTTTAAATTTTTATAATTTAAATAATAAATAACCAAACAATGCAGTATTTCAATCAATTTGCACAAAACTTTTCATATTTAATTTTTAAGATTTATATAATTCTCGAAATTTTTAATTATAGAGTGATATGTATTGTATTTATTTGTTGCATTGCATAAATTTTTGTACATATACTTAAAAAATACATAAAAAGTAAAATATAAAATTTTTAATTTAAATGAATCAATTCTATATAAATTTTTATCTTTAAAACATTTGGCTCTTCTTTTGTATTCAATTTTTCTGCGAACAACGACAATTGCAATGGCTCACTGCAAATCAAATAAGAAGAATCTATATTCAAATTCAAATCTATAAAATATATCTATATTTAAAATTTTTTCCTTTTATTTAATTCTTTGTATCGATCTGTCACTTTCATGATTCACCGATCAAATTTTACGATGAAAATCTGAATTTGCTGCGACAAATATTACACGGTGTGTTCAGAATGCATATACGTGACATTTTCATTAGATGATAGAGAATGTTTGTAGGGACTTACTTCGCAAAAAGATTCGCGACGTTTATCATCAGTATTGGCAATAATATATGTACTGTTGAACGCATTAAGAGTCTTCCGCACGATGTGTCCGGTATAATTTGGCGCGAAAATATCCTGAACGAGCACTACGTGATTTCCGTTAATCTCCGGTCTCGACGACTGGTCTTCGCTGCTTTCCTGATCGTAATCGCGAAGTACACTCGAGACAGAAGCAACTGGAAGGCTGGAGGGGAGAGATGACCGATATATATCGTAATACTTATCTATAGAAAGTATAGATGATACTTATTATAAAATCGGTATCTCTTTTTCTCGCTGTCAAAATAATCACATACGTCAATAAGCAGTTTATGCATTAAATATTCTGATAAATGATTAAAAAATGCATACTGATACGCTTTACTTTTATCTATTATATATTCGCTATATACATACTTTCTACATACATTTACATATTTTCTACGCATCGAAGAGAAATAAATAATATATATATACATACTCTAATATTGAGTTAGAAAGAAACACTGTAGCAGAATGCTTATTGCATGTTTTTTAGCACATAAAAATGATTCTTTTGGAATATCGCTGCATAAACGAAAAACGAAAAATGTGACGCAGGATATATCTCTTCTATACTTAAAAAATATTTAATAATTAATACAAAATAAGAGTAAGCAAAGAGCGTAAGCGCATTTCTTAATATGAGAAAGTACTATAGAAGAAAAGAAAAAGAGATAAAAATAAATAAAAAGAAAAGAAAAGAAAGAGAAAAATTGGAGAAAAGTTTGAGGTGCAAAAAATGCAGGTAGGAAAAACTCGTCAAATCTATTCTCCGTATGCTCTTTCAAGGAAGTTGCACTACGTTATACTTCTTGTATTCAAAATGAAATAGAGGTTTATTCACCAAGCATTGAAGAGAAAAAAGGGATGTAAAATATAGGAAGTACAACTGAAAAGAGAACATTCATTTAAAGATTACAGTCAGCTGAGAGACAGCGTGCTGACAGGTTCAGCTGGGTGCCGATAAGGGTAAAGCAACATATATAACATGATGTAAATATATATATTTATATTTACATCATGACACGTAGAGCCTGTCAATGTCAGTATTCAGTAGGTCAGCAATTTCGTTCGCAATATTCGTAACCGGTGAATATCATTCATTGTAATATTAATCGTGCCTAAGCAAAATGTCTTACCATCACATACAGCTCGTGCTACTTGGCGTGTTCCTGTTCCTGATCGCGCCCTTCAAGACCGAGATCAGTTTTTCTGTCAAGAAGGTGCCCAAGAAGGTGTCTGTAAAGGATTACAAGGTGCATATCGACGCCGGGAAAGAGGAATGCTATTATCAATACGTGAACTCGGGTGCGACTCTCTACATCAGTTTCCAGGTATATATACTGACTGACTGGTCAAATATCCATTATCGAAAATTGTCTGGCTGAAAAAATGAGATTGAACAACGCGACTGGACTGACCGCACATGGTTATGCGATGGGTCATGAGATGTTTCGCGTCTCGAGAAAGCGCTATGTGAATTCGGCGACACGTGTTCTCGCTTTGACAGTTTGTGCACGTCTCGTTAGTCGTGACCTCCTATTTAAACATTTGTCTTTGAAAGTGGTGACCCAGTGGCTTAACACGTGTGTTTGCTTGTTTTCAGAACATATTAATTTTATTATATAAGACTGGAAATTGATAATCTTTTTCTGGCTGTATTCAATTAATCGTTTTTCGTGATTCAAAATTCTTTACAAGAATTAATAAAAAATGTGTTATAAGAAAATAATTAACAATTAATATTTTACATATTAATTGCACTATGTGATTCAAGTAGCTTGTTTTGATTGTAGATCTTGCGCGGTGGAGATAAAAAAGCTGGTTTTGAAATGAAAAATCCAGAGGGAATCATAATTTACCCTTGGCAATGGCAGTACAATGATAATTATCAAGAACGATCAGTAAACGGTGGTTATTATAGTATATGCATTGATAATCGCTTATCATTAGCCAGTCCAAGAATAGTGAAGTTGTATTTCATGGCAATTAGGTAAAAGAAGAAAAGAAAAAGACTTATCTGCAAGATTAATTTAGAAACCTATTATTCATATAAAATAATATATGTATAATGTCATTTTATTTATTGATTTGTTATCAATAACTATTGTTAATATAGGTCTGATCAATGGCAGCAATATAAGCAGGAGGTAGAAGAACAGAATCTTTCTATCCAGAATTTTACAGTACATATATTATAAATATTTTTCTGCGAATTAATCTGCAATTAAAAATAATATATAAATTTGATTTACATATTTTAGAATATTATATGTGTTTTCCTTTTTTCAGAATGCAATTATGCATGTGGAGAAGAACATTGATGAAATGCTACGAATTCTACATTGGAAGAGAAGCAGAGAGGAGAAAAACTTGAATCTGCTGTTGAACAATAGCTCTTACGTACAGATGTGGTCAATCACGCAAGTGATCGTCATCATAGTGACGATTATGGTACAGGTGTATTTTATTAGGAAGTTATTTCATCTGAACAATAAGATATGCAGTTAACATTAGTGAATAACCGCCAATTGTTAGCTCGATAAGAGCATTGTCCAATATCTATTATGACTATTGTATTAATTGATTAATATGTCAAAAATTCGAGTTTAGTAAGTGCAATGCATGTTTCATCGTTTGATATTTATGTTATTTTGATGCTGCTATATATATATTTATATGAAATTACTCTTGGAAATTATTTGCAGAAATGATAGAGATACAAAAATCTATAGATAACAGTGTAACTATGCATATAAATCTTTCGAGTTTAGTAAATGCAATGCATGTTTCATCGTTTGATACATTTATATGTTATTTTGATGCTGCTATATATATATATATATATTTTTATGAAATTACTCTTGGGAATTATCTGCAGAGATGATAGAGATACAAAAATCTATAGATAACAGTATAATTATACATATAAATTTTTCGAAACATATAAATCTTAGTAATTGCAATACATGTTTCATCATTCGATATATTTATATGTTATTTTGATGCTGCTATATATATATTTATATGAAATTACTCTTGGAGATTATCTGCAGAGATAATAGAGATACAAAAAATTCGTTACATACAGAAATTTATTAATAAGTAGACAAGTTTAAGAAATTCTTTGTAAGATGGAGATATATATTTGGACATAGATTAGCTTGTAACAAATGAAAACATGAACTCTCAATTAACAAAAACATAACAAAGTATTAACACCAATGAGATTTTGCATTTATATGCATTTTTCTATCAAACTTACCACAAAATATTTTCATTTATCTTAAACGCATGCTATTTTTGATAATTTTTATAATGCTACTTATATCATATAAGACTGTTATACATTTTGCATTTATCACAATTACATGTTCTATATCCATCTTTGATTCATTTTTACTCATTGTTTGTTTTTAATTTTAGATATTCCCATGTAAGATCATATTGAAGACATTTCAGGAATACATAAGATTTATATATATATTTATATTATTTATATTGTATGTATGTATATAAATAATAATAAACAGAGATATATATATATTTTTGTTACAATATTCTCTTATTTTTCTCTTTACATTTTTATATACAATCCATATATCATTTTTTTCAACTTTCTATAGTTTCAATATGTTTTATGATAAAAGATTTTAGAAAAAATTTTATTTCTCATACTTTGGCGACGAATATAAAAGTTTGAGGTGCAAATAATGCAGGTAGGAGAAACATAAATTGTTTTCCATCTGCTCTTTCAAGGAAGTTTCATTACACTTCTTGCATTTAAAATGAAATAAGTTTACCGCAAGCATTGAAGATAAAAAAAAAGAGAAAAATGTAAAATATAGGAAGTGCAACTAAAAAGAGAACATGTATTTAAAATTTAAAGATTACAATCAGCTGAGAGACTGCGTTAAGATGGTAGGTAAGTTCAGCTGGATGCCGATAGGGGTAAAGCAACACGTAGAGCTAGAGCCTAGAGCCTGTCTGTGCTGTCAATGTCAGTAGTCAGTATATTCAGTAGGTCAGCAGTCTTGTTCGCAATATTATGCGTGCCGGTGAACGTCATTCATTGTAATGCTAATCGTATTCAAGCAATGTCTCACCACATGCAGCTCGTGCTACTCGGCGTATTCTTGCTCCTGATCGCGCCCTTCGAGACCGACAGCTTTTCTTACGAGAATCTGCCCGCGGTCGCGATGGATTACAAGGTGCACATCGACGCCGGCAAGGAGGATTGCTACTCTCAATATGTGAACCCGGGTGCAACTTTCTACGTCAGTTTCCAGGTATATACTGACTGACTGGCCATATCTATTATCGAAAATTGTTTGACTGAAAAAACGAGATCGGGAATAACAACGCGACTTATTTGATCGACCATATGGTTGCATAGTGGGTCACGAGATGTGTCGTGTCTCGAGAAAGCGCTATGTATAACTCGGCGACACGTGTTCTCACTTTGACAGCTTGTGCACGTCTCGTGAACTCTTATTTAGCCACCTGCTTTGAAAGCAATGACCCAGTGGCTTGACACATGTTTGCTTGTTTTCAGGATATTAATTTTATTATATAAGATCTGGAAATTGATAATTTTTTTCTGGCTACATCCAATAAATCATTTTTTGTTACTGACAATATATTACAATTAATAGAAAATGTGTTACAAGAAAATAATTAATATTTTACATGTCAATTGTACTGATTCAAGCAGTTTCTCTTGATTGTAGGTCTTGCGTGGTGGAGATGGAAAAGCTGGTTTTGCAGTGAGAAATCCAGAGGGAAACATAGTTTATCCTTATCAATGGCGTCCCAATGGCGATTATCAAGATCAATCAATAAACGGTGGTTACTATAGTGTATGCATTGATAATCAGTTTTCAAGATTTGCTGCGAAACTAGTAAACTTGTATATCACAGTGATTAGGTAAGAGAACAAAAGAAAAATAATTATCTGCAAGATTAATTTGGAAAAACTACATTATACATATAAAATAATATAGGTATGATCAATGGCAGCAATATACACAGGAACTGGAAGAACTGAATCTTTCTGTCGAGAATTTTACGGTACATATATTATAAATATTTTTTCTGCGAAAGTTAAAAGTTCTGTAATTAAAAATAATATATAAATTTGATTTACATATTTTATAATATTATATGTATTTTCTTTTTTTCAGAATGCAATTGTGCATGTGGAAAAGAACATTAACGAAATGCTGCAAACTCAACATTGGAGCAGAAGCAGAGAGGAGAGAGACTTGAATCTGCTATTGGACAATAACTCTTATGTGCAGACGTGGTCAATCGCGCAAGTGCTCGTCATCACAGTGACGACTATGATACAAGTGTATTTCGTTAGGAAGTTATTTGACATAAAACCATCTGGATATTCTAAGACACGCATTTAACATTAGTGAATAACTGCCAGTCGTTAACTCGATAAGAGCATTGTCCACTACTATTGTGATAAGACTATTGTATCAACTGATTAAGCTCATATGTCATATAAAAATCCATAGATAACAGCGTAAATATGCATATAAATCTTTTGAGTTTAGTGAATACAATGCATATTTCATTGTTTGATAAAATTATATGTCATTTTGATGTTGTTATATATATTTATATGAAATTACTTTTGGAGATTATCTGTAGAGATGACAGAGATACAAAAAATTCGTTACATACAGAAATTTATTAATGAGTGGACAAATTTAAGAAATCTTGTAAGATGGAGATATATATTTAGACTTATATATATTAGTCTGTAACAAATGAAAACATGAATTCTCAATTAGCAAAAACGTAACAAAATATTAACACCGATGAGATTTTGCATATATGCAATAATTTATGCACATAATTTTTCTATCAAATTTACCACATAATACTTTCATTAATCTTAAACACATGCTATTTTTGATAATTTTTATAATGAATATTCTATGTCGACATATATTTCCTTTTCTATCTTTTTTTATATATTGATGTATTTACAAGCCAAAGCGCTGCTTATATCATATAAGACTGTAACACATTTTGCATTTATGCAAAACTATATGTTCTATATCCATCTTTAATTGATTTTAACTCACTGTTCGTTTTTAATTTCAGATATTCTTATGTATGATCATGAAGACATTTAAGGAATATATAAGATTTATATATTTATATTGTATTTGTATAAAAAATAATAAACAGACACATATACTTTTGTTACAATACTCTCTCCTTTTTCTCTTTACATCTTTATATACAATATATATGTAAAATACCATCATTTTTATCAATTTCCTATAGTTTCAATATGTTATGGTAAAAGGATTTTAGAAAATATTTCTCATACTTTGGCGACGAATAATATTACATTGGCACACAATTATTGATTATGAAATACTGTTGTAACGTGAAATTACATATGTATAAACACTCAATAATTTATAGACAATATCACAATATCTCTGAGCGACTCGCATTTCCGTCGCATTTTAATTTTATCAATGAATCCCCTGGTTCTGTCTCGCCCTTCTCTGTTGTATCACGCTACTGCTGAGTGCCAACAGACGGTGTCGTTGCTTCAGATTCCGCGCACGCACGTGTTCTGATGCAACTTCCTTCGTATAATTCGCCGGGAACCATCCTTGTTCACCATCCAACAATTTTTCACCATGGTACCAACCATCTGCCATTTTTCTCAATACATTTATCACGTCTCCTAGTAGAACATTACTTCAATTTAGAATCACGATTTTATATATATTACATATAAAATATTTTAATAGACATATAATCATTGAAATATTGAGCATTAAAAAAGAGACTTTAAAGAGTCAAATTTTATTAAAAATAATAATCGATTTTTTGTTTGACTTTGTTTGATTTTGCGATTATACACGAGCAATTTTACAAATATTTAATTTAGATTTTTAACATAAAAATCGAAAAATAATAGAAAGAATCATAAAAAATACTCACTAAGAAAATAATATTGCTAAACTTTTCTAAAGCTATTGCCTCTATATTGATAATATTTTTATTGTATATTTTAAATGTTTAAAAAAATGGATAAACACATATATATACAATTATATTACCTGATTGCAACGACAATTCGTCTGGTTGATTTGGCGAATACGGGTACTTGGCCATTACTTGCGGACAGTCCCAGGATTCATATAACGTTTCGCCAACCAAACCACGTTTGGGCGGCGAGACAGCCTCCAGCCATCGTTCTCTTTCGGTATTATTTTCGCATGTCAAGACATACTCCACATGGCGGCCGGAATGATTCTCCAGAAGAGTCAGTATCATAGCATTCCGTCCAGTGAACGGCGATTCTTCGGAAGCTGACTCCAGGGCCAGAAGATTTCTTTTGCATGCGTCTATGACGGTATAGCATTCGTCGTGAGCACTGCAAAGCATTTTAAGTTAAAATTTGTTTTGTGTTTGTGAGATTTACTCAATAAAAAGGATGTATATAGGAAAGATTTATATTAATTATATTCCAATTTTCCATTTTATTTTCCCCTTTTTAATTTTCTTTTCACAAAAAATTCTTCCTTTAAGTTATATATCATTTGTAATTTCCTTTTTTAAGAAATGCAAGATATTAAATTTCTCTAAAATTCTGGTTTTTTTTCTAAAAATATAGCATCATATCCTTATAAATGAAATTTTTGATTCATAAATTAATGCGACCATGTTAAATGATATTGTCTTACTTGGATTTTAATTTCGTGACTAGAAGATAATCAGTGAGTAATAGAAGGTAGAGTGGTGTCTTGTTAAACTTCTTTCCGAATGTGAGCTTGTATTCGGTGTCAGTCTTCATCGACAATTGCACGACCGATCCGCTTCTAACTAACTGCTTACCCCTCAGCAAAATCGGTTTAATTTTGGACGAATATTCTAGTTTTCTGCGATCAAGTATTATATGTGTTATAAGTGATTTATTTTATGTAATATATAAAAAACTGCATATATAAATTAATTAGTAGCAGTATGTTATACCTCGCTAAAGCTTCCATCTCGACTTCTTGAGCAGCAGCTCGAGCACCTTCGTTGCACTCGGCAACGACGTTGCTCAAAGTCGATAGAACTTTTTCCCAAGATACTCTGTCTGAATTTCCGATCGATAATTTGGAAACAATAGCGTCAGCTAATAAGGGTAATCTACGCAGAATTATTTATTGAGAAACCTTTACAAATAATTTTATATTAATTTTCGGCAAACAATGAATCATCAAACTTATATAAGCTAGTAGATGACCAAGTTTAATAAAATAATTTGAGTTTTATAATTTAATTAAAGTAATTGATTGATACACACCTCGTAACACGTTGCATTGGTAACATTAGGAAGGAATGCAGAGATAGATTTTGGCATGCCGGACGCATTTCTATACGTTTGATAGCTTCCAAAAACTTTACGCCTTTCCGAGTTCTGCTAAAACAAAGGAATATAATAATTATATCATAAACAATATATATTTATTAAATAGCTTTAAATATAGCATGGTAAAAGCTATACATATACATTTTATACAAATTTCTCTCATAATATATAAATATGAAAAACAACTACAATCATCTTACTTGAGTTCTTTTAGAGTCGTGTCTATGCTGACTTGATTCGAACAATAGGCCACGTACGTGGCCTGACACTTTTCGGCGTGCTTCAGCAAGACTTCCGATAAGCCCGATAGCATCGGATCTTCCCTCCATATAGCTTCCAGTTCAGCTAGGAACGTTTGCGACGTTGACAGTACGCTCGGCACCCCGCCGAACAATCTCTGCCTCTCAACCGGCGTCAGGATTTCGTTCATTAATATATGATTACTGAGGAACTCGTTTTCTAGGACTCGAAGGGAATTTAAGTACGACGCTTCGGAGGTCAATATCTCGAACTTTGCCTCTTGAATCTTCTTTTCCTCCGTTGTTAGTTTCTCTATTACATTAAATTTTTTTATGAACAGTTTGTTATATTCTTGGTATATATACATTTCATCTTAATATGAAAAATATTTCTATATGTATAAGTACGATGGTTTTAACTTACGTAAGAGACCACTGTGTATTACTTGTGGAGTATGACACCAGAGCATTCTTTGTCCTGATCTAGCAAGATTCGCTGCGACTGGTTCTGTTTTCCACATTGTGTCTTCTACCTGAGGTTGAAAAATTATATATAATATATAATAATGCATTAAATAACACTATTTTTTCGTAATTATTTAAATTTATAAGTAAAATAAAATGTGATATATTTGTCACATAACTTTAAGTAGTTCTATATTTAAAAGATTTGCGATAAACGCTAAAATTTAAAAAAATATAGACATAACAAGTATCAAAAACAAATGTAACAAATATCAAAATATTACCTCCTCATAGCCCTCGGAATCAGATTCGAAAGCAACACGAGCCACTGCGGCCGCGTAAAACTGATAGAGAGGTTCTTGATCGGCGAGGACACTGTAATGATCTGAAACAGGAATAATATAATATTTTGTCAGTACTGGCTGATTCCCATGCGCGAAAACAAGCGACAATTAGACATCGACGAGTATACGTGGATCATAAATTCAGGCGCGCGTACGTTAATTAAGAGCAAGTATCATTAGTCCCGTGAAAGTGTACGCTTTTTATGAGTCGATGTATGAATAACATTCTTCAGCGCATGGGAATATTCTGAAAAGAACCGTAAAAACTTGATATATATTTAGCCTATGAGAATTTAGCCTTTGCTTGATAAAATCGAATCACTCTCGCAGATGTATTCGTCAAACTCGTTTTCTCTTGCGGTAGCATTCGCGACTGCACATTTCTAATTTGCTACTTTTTAAAAATGTAATGCGTTATATCATTCTAATATATTTATCGTTATTACTGCCAAAATATTCCCCAACCAGTGCTCACACGATCATGTATTTTTGCTTTCGAGAAAAATTGTATTATTTATTTTATTCATTATAGTATATTTATTATTTTGCAGAATTCAATATCATTATTGCATTTTTCGCCATAAAAATTAGAAAATAAAAAAAAAGGATAAACGACAACTTGAGAAAACGGCGCTTACCGATGTCGCGCGGAGTCTTGGAGGAATCGTCGCTGCCGCTTCCCATATACTGGCTGTTGGTGTAAATATCCTCCTTGACAGTGCCGTTGTTGTTATTGCGAGCGCCGCAAACATTGTCATTTTTATCATTCTCATCGAGGTAGAAAGTCGACGGGCTAGCGATGCTCTTTCGGAAATGCCTCAAACGAAAGTTGAAATATTTTCCGGTATCATTGCCGTGATGCTCGTTGCCCGACTCCTTATCGTCAAAGCCGGACTCGTCCACGGACGTTCGCCGTCTGATCCTGCCGAGGCTGCCCTTCGTGATGCTCCAGGTCCTGCGCAGCATCTTTATTCGCCTGCCCAGGGTCTGTGTTAGACTGGCCTCCCTTGGCGGCGGCGGGGTTGGTCTCGTAGGGCATTCCAGATCAGTGTTGATCATGCAATCGTTCGACACGTCGTGACGCAATTGTCGCGTATCGCTCGTTTCCGTCTCCGAATCGCTGCTAAAGTCATCCGGCTGACAGGAATACAGGCTCTCGTACGTGCTGTCATCGGAAACGCTATCTGATAAACAGAAAGTCCAATCAGAAAAATGGATAAATTATCGAGCTGTTATGTGAAGATAATTAAGTTACGACAGTAATTCATGCGAATTTTTTTTTATTTTGGATACTTTGGATACAATCGAGTGAAAACAATCTCCACAATCAGGATGCCCACTCAAATCTTGTAAAAAAATTGCCGATTGCTTACAATATAAAAGCATTATCAACGAGAATTTTTTAAAGCAATTTCTTGAGTCCCAGTAAAATTTCATGAGAGAATTCCCTCTGATTTTTCTAGGTACAAAACAAATCCCTGAGAATTGCAGGTTTTCCATGTTTTTCCAGGAAATAGATACCTTGACAATATATGCGTATATTTTAAAATTATACATCGCAAATTTAGAATGACACATTCACGAGGATAAAGGGAACACAATATTATACAGAGAGCGTCCTGTAATTTGGACGCATTACATTTGATAAATATATCATTAAAGATTCTGTAATAAATAATTTTTTTCCATTTTATTTTCTTCAATACGTTCATCGTATCTTCACGAGTGCTCTAAAATACTATACGCGGACCTTCGTGCACGTAACATGACGCTTCCTGGACGTCCATGTCTTGATCGAGATTGACGACGCGCAGCTGCACCAGGCCCTGGGTCCGCTGCGGCTGGAGATCGTCGTTCCGGCTCGTCGATCTCCATTCTCCGGCGATCTCGTCCGGCTCGCCGATGAGAAGTATCGAGCCGCCGCCCAGACTGACGGCCACTTGAAATCATCCGATTCAAGGTCAGATCCGTGCTGTACAGGATCCAGAAGCATGCACACATGCCCACGCGCGCGCTGGACCGAGGTATAGAAGAGAGAGGGACAAACACGAGCGAGGTGAGTCTCAAATATGGCCATGGATGGCGAAATCTCCGCGCGATTTCGGATTCTTTCTCTCTCCTTCTCTCCCCCTATTGGAATTTCCATAATTTCCATCGACGACAACTTTCGTTTCGCGTGTCACATCGCGTTAATGTCAGCGATGAACAGTTTTATATAATCACACGTGATAATCGTCATAAAAGAAGCTCTCTCGTAGCTGTACAAAGTATTATTCAAACGCGTTCGGAGATCGTAGATAAATTGAGATTCTCGCATCACGAATGTGAATTCAAGCTAGATTTTCCGAAAGGTAAAAGAGAGTATGTTACGAGCGCATTTTAACCGGATTCTTGTCGATTCTCATTAACGAAGAAAGTAGAAACTTTGATTACTCTCTCGAGCCGCTTCCTCGAGATCGACATAACTTGCATCAATTATCGACACGGCAAATTAAAAGATACGCGGATCTTGGTATGAAAAAAACACGAGCTTTTAAAGAAATTAAGGATCCACAATTGAAAAATAGCACAAAGATAAAATTAAAAACACATATCAAAACCGGCAAATTGATGAAGGGATGCAATAAAACTGTCATATGTAACTGTAACGGAGTTAACGATACGATAATTATTCAAATCCGGGAATAATGTTGCAAAATCGGTATAGAACAATTAACGAACGTGCATTCGGCTATGATTTATCGTTGATGCAAAATCGACGAATGAAGAATTTCGCGAGGGAGATTCCATGACTACCATTGTTCTCCAGACCCATTCCCCTGAAATTTGACGTCCGGCGTGGGCAAGCGGGCAAGCGGGCAAGCGTGACGAGGCGGGCCCTCTTCGTTTTCTTACCTTGGGTATTGGGTCGTCGGGTCTTCAGCGTCTCTCTCATTGCCACATCTCGTTGATGCGCACTCAAAGTTGCGAGACGCGTCCGCGACCACTCGGTGTCGTGACACAATCTTGGCGTACGCAATAAGAAAAACACGCGGGAAACTTCTTCTCAGAGATGAGCAATATAGCCGAGAGCAGCGAGAGATCACGAGACAGAAATACACCATACGATACAATCCGCGGCTCGGCCGTGACTGACAATGAGAGCGCGCAATTGGCGCTTTCACCTCGCGCGTTGGTTTCTTAAAGGATCCTCACACGATCTCTTTAAGGTGACTTCCACACGATGAAGGCGTAAAGACTGGAGCACGTGTGTCGACAATTTAAATCTCCGAATTTTTCAGAGTAAAGAAATGTCACTTCTCGTTAAATGCTAAATTTGCTAGAAGATCTTTTTTTATTATAATACACTGTATTTATTATAAATTGCTCAATGTTTTATTACGGTATTCTATCAAGCGTTGCACGCAATATTATCGACAGATATGCACCGATGATCACTCAAAAATTTGATATAAGAAAGCTGCAATTGTCAAAAATAAAAGTTTCAAGCCAAATAATGCTACTGATATTTATTATTCAGAGTATTCTTTTTATATACCCTTAGTGCCGTAGATATCTCGTAAATAGAACTCATTGTCTTTACAATCATATTGTTATATTTGAATCGAATACCTCACCGAGGAAAAAATTGTTAGAAATATTTTTTAGGAATATAACACCCTCTTTTTAGAAATCTCCAACTACTTACAATTCAACACACAAATAACTATTGCTATTAAAATATTTTTACAAAAGATTTACTTTTTTTAATATTATTAACTTAGATATTAATATTATAGAATTAATAGTTAGACATAATGATAAAAAATATCCATACTTTAAATACTACTAGTATTACTGTTGAAATTAAATTTATAACTAGATGTCAACTATTGTTTCGTGAAAAAAACATCATAGACTATTTTCTTGTGTGAAAAATAACAAAATCTTATTTTTTGCAAAAACCACAGTTTGTAAAAACGGAGTACATTTATAAAAACTTTCTTCATCTTTATCGATATCTAATTATGTAAAATAAGAGCAACCATCTAGAAAGCAAATGCATTAAAAATATTTTCTTTCATTCTTGATTATAGTTAATGGCTAGACAAAGCAGTATTAAAGGCATAAGTTGTAAGATTTTCATTATCGTGTGCATCGAGCGTGCAGCGGGCTTATGTTCAAATCGATCGTTGATATACATATTCGAGGCGAACGACCGTGCAAAACGCTTTTCCATAAAACGGTATATTCGATACTAAAACCGTTTTCAGTTTTTTGCTACGGCCAATAGTATTGTAATACTTGTTAAATTTATTATCATCACTATTATTCGTTTTGATATTACACTTTTATCTTGCACATGTTGAACCGTTTGAAGTCATTTTCCAATTCATGTTTGTTTTTTTTACTTAATGATGCTTCGCACATTTGCGTTTTTTTTTTCGCGGACAGAACATAATCGCGTATTTTAGCGCTCATCTTAGCATTACAATGGACTGGCTTGCGACATTCTTGTCTATCGAATGGTGGACCCATGTGGTGGTTGCACGTGCGAATAAAAAAAAAGGCACGCATATGTGTGGGCATTACGTGATCCGTCTGTCGCAGGAAAACGCATGTGTGACGAAGAAGTAACTTTTACCTGGATATTATGTGATCATCTTGACTGATATCGTAGTACAATGCGTCGTACAAGTCGCGAAATTGAATTCCGTTGTCGTTTTACGCGGCATTTTTATTCATTTCAAGGATTCAATTAAATTGAATCTCTTATCCGATAAGTTATATAACACATCAATAGAATGCTGATTCTATCGATATTTGTGAATATAACATAATTAGCGCAAACGACGAGTTAAGAAAAGTTCGAGCGAAAAGAAATTTAAAGTTATTTTCTCTATGCATTCTTAGTATATTAGTTATTTAAAATAACTATTCATACGAATTATATCATATATGTTATTTATTTTCAGTGATAAATAAAAATATATTAAATGGTTTATAGAAATTGCAATAAAATTAATCTCTTTTTTTTTTAATGGTATTAATATTATTCTTTCTTTAAATAACTGATTAAATATAGTAATTGATTGATAATATTATTTTCTTAAAAAACTCTGTGAGAATAATTCTATTTAATATTCACAGATAACTATTTTACAAAACAGGCGAATTAAAAAAAATTAAAAGTATCGATAAACGTATTAAGTCTATAAAATTTATAATTCTTAAATTTCAAAATAACAAAAAATTCTTTTCATTTTTTAATTTTTCCAAAGCCTTTAATAATAATTGAGATAAACATAAGAAAAAATATAAAAAAATGTAACAATTATATACTATGCAATCTCTAATTTTTAAGAATTCTTTCCGATATTTTTCGTAAGATAATTGTAACTTGCAAATATGGAAATTATTGTCGTTGGGGACCATCCACGCATCTGTTCAAATGCGCGCACGCGGTTGCATAGACATTCCGATCACGTGGCGATGTGCAGCGGAACTCGGAATTAATGGAGAGTAGGTGCTTTGTCGCGGCGCCTCGACCTAGCGCGGCCTTGTCTTTCAATTATATTATAAAGGCGATACGTGCGATGCTATACACGTCAAGTCAATTACATCCGCCCACTGTCCTTCGGATACGACGTTGTGAACAATCACGATTGCGGATTATTTCAGCTTACTTACTTCGTAAGCAAAACCGCAAAATCGCGGCCGTGACACTTAAAATATTGTATCTACACCGTTAAAATAACCGACTGGGATGATGGCCGTTTGGATAAAGTCAGTTCTGGCATATCAATTCCCGGACGATGCCAATTCGCAAGCGATGGGAATCCCGAAGACGTGACAACCGCTCTGATCAATGTCTCGCGATATTGGAAAATCAGTATCGTCATCGAGACTTTCTCGAGTATAATTATGGATCTGTCAGAACACGCGTTTCCAGAAAGTGAAATTCTCATGTTCGATATACAATCATCAATTTGCTAATATCCCGATTGTATATCCGCGATGTTGGGATCTTGAAAAGAGAATTATTATGCTACTTTACTTTCGAATAGATGTGTGAGTGTATCAGTTTGTCGATATATTATACTATTTTCATATTTTTATTATTTTTTATTAATTTATTTTTGTTATATTGTTTTTATATAATTATTTTTATTTCTATTGTTTTTTTTATATTGTTTTTTTTGTTAAGACACACAATAAAGAATCTTGAATTTGGATTTTAAATTATAGCGTTATTTCATCTTTCGAATCTATAGAATTAATATATCTCAATAGACTTCTTATACATTTTTATTAATAGGATTCCGATAATTGAGAATTTAATAATAAGATCTTGAGGTATTAATAGTTTCACGGTAAGCAATCCATGAATGTCTATTCTCGTATATTCGAGTATTTGCTATTTTAATACGATTATCTTGATAGCGGTCTATCTTTTATTCAAATGTTTATGCATATGATGCTTTATTCTTCTTGAGAAATACGTGTTACGGCCGAATGACAAAATGCTTGTGCAAATCCTGTCACGTACGACGTGCTGCTCACGCAACTACATCATCGAGCGATGTCGAAAGTACGAATTGTCGAAACAGTTAGAGAACGCAGCTATTCAAGTATGGAAAGTCATTGGATAGTTTTCTGACGAATCTGTGCGTAATCTGTACGCTTATAAATATCGACGTTGACAACTGTAGCTATATCACTAAAGCTATTTCTAATATTTTATCTCACAGTAGCACGATTATTTTTGATATCTATCATCAGACTGTCAGCAGACAGTGTGTTCTCAGGAAAAATTATAAATAATGTAATTTGATATATTATTAAAACGTAAAAATTATTAATTATAGTATTTTTATAGAAAAAAAATAAAATTATATCGGAATTTTTGTCACTTAAATTTTGTTGCAAGCTTTCATTTATACAAGCGCGCGCGTGCTGCGTAATCAAATTAATGCACATTGTGCGTGGATTCGGTGGAAGTCTCACGCGAAAATCTTACACCGACGCAAGTCACGCATATATGTACGAACGTACACGCGATATTTGTGAAATGCCGGTGATTATAGCGGGAATCCTTCAAGGAGAGATATCCAAGTATATTCTTAGCGAGACATTATATTACCTGCACACACGCAACATGTGGCGAGCGTTACCTAATAGTAAAATTTCCTCTTTGCTAGTACTCACCGTCAACTACAGTGTCGTGGGTCGTTCTCGTCATCACAGTCGTTTTGATACTTCTGCGAGATCTCCTGGACCGTTGTCTTCTGGCATTCCGCGACCATCGCTGAGCGAATTTCTTCTTGCTCCATGCGTTTTGCCCATCGGTCTCCTTTCCGCTATAATTTCACGTTTACAAATTTATGGAGAGAGAGAATGTGTAATAACATAAAATTTTTTTTTATCGACAACATTTTTCTTTATCGATCAGATATTTTCAATTTGTCTCATTTTCGCGTCAGCGCTATAATTATCTAAGATATGAAGCATTGTATTCAGCATGAGTTAACGATTTGTTCATCCTCAGGCGGAATGCAGTGATAATGATCGCGATATTAATACGCTGACGTCGCTTTTAATCGCGCCACGCTATATATATATACGGAACCAGATAATCGTTCTCGTCGACGACTGTTGAACCGTCCTGTTTGAAGCTAGGCGGCATCACGTCGTCGTAAATTTCGTCGCAGTCTTTGGCATCAGCGGCGTTGACTTCTTCTACGTCGAAGCGAGCCATCGGGGGACCCACGTCGTCGTAATCGGACTCCTGATAAGAGATTTATTGCCTTACATTCTTTTGTAATTTGAAGAAGCAAATGATTGTCGCACCTGCCGATGGATCGACATCGTTGTTAATTTTTATTGCGAAATATAATATACAAGGCGCGGTTATAGTCTTGAAAACGAAATTCGAGGAAAAACGAATCAAATTACGCATCATTCGTGATGCCGCATTTCCGTCTCTAATTTGCTAGCACGCAGCGCGCGAATCGATTATTCAACATTCCGTTTCACTTTTGCTGACGGTTGCCAATTTAATGCACGAAATAGCATTTAGCAATCAGATGCACGCGGTTACTTCAATTCGCGCATCAATTTTCGCAAATATTTTTTTCACTTAAGATTGAACACAAAGGAGAATTAAATCGAGGCTGTTTAAATATCACGTGTGTTTTCTTTCTCAATATAATTTTTTTTTAACCAACTTTTAGATTTATTTATATACTCATTTACTCGATTTTAATTTTAATGTAAACATAATTTCCGTTAGTTACTTTGCGTTTAATGAAAAAAACAAATATTCTTACTATTCTTTTTCGATATAATTTTCAATGTAATCGGACTTTCCCAAATTGAAACTATCATACAGCTATCATATAGTATACTCATACGCATCGTTTCGCTATTTGCACAGATTACAGAAGCGCGTAGATTCCATTCCATCGAGGTTTACGATAACGGAATCGTTGTGCATACGGTAATTCGTACCGCTTGAGCGACGAAGTTAGACGGCCCGACATCGTCGTATTCCTCGCTATCGACGCCCTCGTCGTTTTCCTTCAAGGCATGGCACGTAGCGGATGCGTCGCCCTTATCCGGAAAAGTCTTGGCGCGGTGATTACTCCACAGAAAGCTGCAATTGGCCCGCGGCGGCGCCCGAGGAGAAGACTCACAGACAGGTTCGTACATTTCGCCTTCTGGCGAATCGGCCTGATTTTCAATCGCGGTTTTCACCACCTCCTGGCCAGACTCCAAAACTTTCGCCGCCTGCAAGTCTCTCGAGTTGTTCTTTATCTCGGTGTAGTTGATTCGATCGCTCTTATCTGCAAGGGAATCCATCGTCAAGACCTTATTTCAAACAGAAAGATATCGCTGGATGCCTCCGGATATACTTTGTGTGGATAGAGAGATAGTGCCTGCTCGTACCATTTATGTGTCTATTATAAAAATATCATACTGTTTATCGTTTTCTATATTTTATATTTCCAAGAGAAAAAAATATAACGTTATTTAATCGAGCTTAATAAAACTTAATTAATACTCAAGCTTAATAAAAGATGCTCTGCTAAAATAATTATTCTTTTTAAAATAGAAATTATGACTATCAATTATAAGAAAATAATTAGTGTACATCAAAGTTTTTTTCTTGTTCTCCAACAAAATGACATATTTTATTGCAATAACTTATTTATATAAAATATATAATCAGTGAAAAATCACACATACATTATACAACTATTATCAATTGATATTTAGATTTAAAAGTGCTAAAATCTTCGAATAAAAACTATGATAATGCAAGAAATTATAAAATAACATTAATGATTACTATTTTTAATTATTCTACGATAATTCAAATATTTTTAAATTAACTATTAACTTTATTATTAAAAAACATTATATGTTTCTTATTTACTCAATGCTTTCAATTACCCAATTCGGTATATACAGATTGAAAGATATGCAAATCGCGCAAATCAGATTGTACTTGTGCAAGACAACATTTGCATAAATTCTTTCACCATTATTGAACTCAATAAAGAAATCCGATTACTCGTACCTGCGACACTTTCGACAGCCGATTGGTTTTCTTTGGATTGCTTGGAAATCACATCGGGAGACATTCCTGCGGTAACCTTGGGCCGTTCAGCGTTCTCGTTCTCAGACTTGCGTCGCTCGTCCTTTCCAACGAGTAGAGGCAAAGACGCGCATATCTGCTGATGAGTAATCACAACTTGCTCCAAGCCGGACCCGACGATGGTGTCGCGAACCAGGCTGGGATTTGTGGCGGATGCCACATGGACGAAGTTCGTGGGCGACGAGATGATCACGCCCTTTAGTTCCTCCCTCGACAGGTTTCTGGTCCCGGTGCAGGTACCCTGAGTCTTCGAGAAGGACGTCATTTGCAGCGAGCTCAGCGAGCTACTCAGAGCGTACTTCTTCTTCGATTTCTTTTTTTTCTTCGGCTGCTTTACCAAGTGCCGCGGTACATAGTGGAATACGTTTCTAGTAAAGCGTCTCTTCTTTTTCTTGTGTCGTGACGACGCGTTATCGTCCTCGTCGCTCGTAGTTGACTCCGCGTCCTGCTTCAAATATTTCAAAGGATCTTCGTACGTGGTCTCTCTGATAGCCAGATCATTTACGGACCGCGACTTTCCGGCTATCTTAGAAGCGACTGGAATATTTTTCTCGATTTTGTAAATATGCGTTAGGGGTTCAAGAATTGTCTTATTTGGCATTGCAGGATCGATTTTAGACGTCCCATCAAATGTAGATACTTTATAATCTATTATATCCATCTTTTCGTAATCGCTGGATGAATTGGAATCTTTTCTTTCGATACAGTATTTTTTTTTCTCGCGCTGATTATCAGTAATCTTGATATACATGCAAGGATTTTTTCCTTCTATCTGCGGATATTTTAAATCATCATGATTATCGCTTTGCAAATCTTGAGTGCAAGATTCTTCTTTTGTAAATGAATTTGTAGAGGATAAACTTTTTATAGTCGTTTCAATGGCTTCTGTCGCATTTGTCTGAATTTCCTCTTTGGGGATATTCTCGATATTGCATTTTGTACCGGAATCTGATATTCTGGTGGCACAAGTTGTCGACTGGTTCTCCGATTTGGTCAAAGAGAAGGCCTGGCACTTGGAGTAACTTTTCCATTGATGACTCGCTCCGGATTTCACCTAACGACAAGACGAGCGTAATTAAATGACTAATTGAATTGGTCGCTGCAGATGTTATAAGAGAAAGTTTTTACGAGTAAAGAAAAATTCTTGCAACAATCTATTACTTTTCATTCTTTCACTCGACAATAATGCTACTATATATCTGTATCTTTAAATATAATACAATGATCTTCTAAAAAAAAGAAATAGTTCTCTGATTGATTCTTCTTAGAATGGTTAATTATATTGCGACTGTGAAGATTCGTGTTACATGGGAATATCATTTGTTTAGTGAGAAATTTAGAGATCATAAAACGCTGAAAACTCATTTTTAAGATGCAAATTCTTTTTCACTAATTAATGTATTAAAATCACTGTATTCTATAACAAAGAAACATATATAATATAGATTTTGATTGATACATTGATAAAAGTCAGTAAAACTTTTTCCTGTAGAAACATATAGGGAAATGGAATTGAGAAACATAATTGAAGGATCTATAGATATAGAATTCATCCCAAAAAATTTTTTAAAAATAATGGAAACAAAACAATGAAATATTTTTATAAGACACGATTATTGGTCGTGACTAAAGTAGAATTCCGCGGTTTTACGGAAACCGACACATGTATCGACTATAAGTCGGTCGTTTTTTTCCCCCATCACTCGCATTCTTCATCCGATGGAATGTTAGTGATACGAGGAAATCGCAGTTGTCCAGCAATAAAACAGTATCGTGCAATAAAAGACGCTCGATATCGCTTCGGAAAAGTTTGCCCATTATGTTTTTGGTAATCTGTGCTTCTTGATATAACGGTATCGTGATAATATATATGGTAAACATTAAGTGGTATTCCGTTGAGTCTTCACGATTCTTATCCAACGTGGTAGGCTAGCATCATAAGATACTAACGAGCCACTCCTCCGACTATTAGCATCCTTTTGCTCGCGTATCCGCATGTGCGTATCTCGACTTACGCACATAAGAGACATCTTACTCGTCTTACGCAGGGAGTCACGTAAACTCTTGTTTTTAAATATACATCCGGGTTAGGTTATCTACGAGAATAACTGGAGTCTGTCTTTAGGAATTTTAACAAACTCACTCTTTTTTTTCGAGAATGATTCTATTATACAATATAAATCGTACAAACAACAATAATTCTTGTTTAATTTTCTTATATCTTTTTAATAATCATTAAAAAATTTTATAAAATTGGTTGTAAAGATTTAAAGAATTGTTTCATCTAACATATTATTTCTTAAAACAAAAAATAAATTTTATAAAATATTTGTATAAAATATTGTAAATATTGTAATTAATTATATTGGAAATTGGCATTAAACTATCTCATAAGTTTTTAAAATACATATCAAATGGTCGAACTTCTTTTATGAGTAAAATCGACGTACCTTATAAGTTGGTCGTTTGGGCAAAGTCTTTCCATTGACAAGTCGCTTTTCTTTGTCTGATTTTTCCGTCTTGTCTGCAATATTATCGCTGTCCACGGGAAGCAATTGAAGAGGCAATCTCGTTCGCTTCAGAGCTAAGCTGTCGAGTGTGGCGTAAACGACTTTGTCGGAGATCAGGGCAGCCTTGCCGCTCCCGTGCAGGAAACTCCGATTTGCCGTAGGCGAAGGGCTCATCTCGTAGGGCTCTTTTTTTACGGTTCAATCATCTATGATTCACTCAAGTTCCGTGCAATTATTTCACATATTACTATTTTATTCTTGTTCATTGTTTCCGTCTTTAAAATTTCTGTAATCTTGATGAAAAATTGAATAAAAGTTCATTATCACATTACAATATTTTTCACGTTTTTATTTTATATAATATTATGTCATATCCTTATTGTTACATTTTTTATACACGTCCCTTTCTACGTATATATCCAAAATTCCAATAAAAAAATTTAATAAGAGAATTATTTGTATTAGATATACTTTATTAAAAAAATGATCCTAATAATAATAACCTTATTAAATTATATTATAGTATATCTCCTACAATGCTTCTTTTCCATTTTATATATTATATGTTATTGATCGACTAGATATAGAAATGTAAATCGAACATAGGCTTTATTCTATATATTCATAATAAGTACTCGACGCGAGTTGCAATGTGTGTTTATTGCACATGTGTATGTTCAGATCGAAGTACAATTTGGTCTAACAATGCTGAAAAAAATTCATCGTCGCGCCAATCGCAAACCAATACGAAGAGGATATAAAGAACCGCAGTTTCAAACGTTTTCCGCGAAAACGCTGATAAGAGACTTTAATGTGTGCCCTTATCACGAATACCGCATGTGCACATGATCGTTGATCGCGATGCTGTCATTGACAATTACAGCAGTTGTTTATTATGCAATTGGATTATTATTTAATTATACACGATGAATATGTACACACACATTATATTTATTATGAATAGAATATGTCCAATTTACATTTCTATATTTAATTAAATAATTATTTGTTTTCATGAGATACGAAATTATGAATCAAACGGACGAACAATTGACAGATAAGCCTATCACAGCTTCCGTTGCTACTTTATACTGTTATTAAAAAAAAAAAACAAGAAGATAACAAAAATTATACTATTCGTCTTTGTTTTTTTGAGATCTAATCGATACAACTATCTTTATATTGAAAATTATTATTAGCTTTTTATTACAATCGCTTGATCAGAGATAAAAAGCCGCCAATTTTTATTGAGTCATCAAATGTAAAATCTTCTACAATAAATAAATTTCTGCTTTTTTTTATTTAATTTCACCACGAATCAAATATATTAATTATTGTTAAACAATTGAATATATTTTATATCGTCATTATAGTTTACTTTAGAGTTGTTAAATTTATTTTATAGCTCAATTTTATAGTCTCAATTTGTATTTTTATCAATTAAGTATTAGGTTAATTAAAATCATTGCATAACTGTGATAATGTAATAAGATTGCAGTAAAGACAAATAATAATAATCTTTTCTTTTTAAATTTCGTGATAAATATTAAATTTTTTATGCACGATTTAACAATAATATAATAATTGTTGATCATATGTATATCGAGGTAAATAAATATATACGAGGTATTAACAGTCACGATGGGGATTAACAATTGATAATTTTTAAGTATGAAATTATTGTCAGAGATTAATATACATTCATATCCATTAAACTTATCAATTATTTTTTATTTAATTTTCAAAATTAAACTCTATATATAAAATATTTTTAAAGTATATATAAAGAATTGTTACGTTTTCTCATGCAACCAAAGATGCGAAATACGATATCCTGCCTCAAAATCATGAAGTATTAATATTGCAGTCGCGAAGACGAGTTCGTCGACGGAACATATCGCACGAAACTATTGTATAGCAAAGACAGATTACCGCCTTGCCGTTTTTCAACTCGTCAGTCACGTCACGTAGCGCGAAACTTTTAGCTTTGCGAAAAGATCGACTCGTTCCGCTTGATCTTCCGCTTGAGATCCCGTTGACACTTTGGCGAGACCGCCTCGAAGACGCAGCCGTTCGTAAACGCGTATTCGTATTTCGCGCACTCCCGTTGCATCGCACGTGCGCTCGCGACGACGAGTACGACGAGTGCGACGAAACGCACGATCACGCGGCGCGAAATGCACTGACGCGACGCCGCTAATGATCGATCGACGCCGATGATCGAGAGGCGCGCGCGCGAGCGGCGACAAATCACGCGGCCACGCTCGCGCCGGATTTTCGGAGCAACTTCACTGCGCATTCGCACAAGCGGACACGCGTAGTCGACTCCGAAGATCGTCGGTCCCGTTCGGCGATCCTCGGCGAGACTCGTATGTCAGTGCCGTAGCGCGCGAACCATCGGATTTTTGTATTGTTCCGTTTTTTTTTGGAACAAATTCATCTTTACAGAGATTTATTAATTACATTGCTATTTTCAAGTTTAGTTTAAAGTTTTGAGAAAAAAGGATTAATAAGTGTAATCTAAATATGATAATAGTGATTAGAAATTAATAATTAATACTAAAGTTCTTTCCATTATTTCTCTTTGAAATAATGGAAAGTAAGATCTTAATGATGTAAAGATCGTAATATTGTAAGATCTTAATAAAATAGTGTTATTACGTGATATCACGATATCAGGCGAATATATTAAAATAATAAAACTCTAATTACATTTATGTTTCAGAACGCAGTTTGTTTCGTAACTTCTCTTGTTTTTCTTCGATTAATTCTTCTTGTAACGATCTTTCATGTCGAGTGTGTTTTTTGTAAAATATTTACATATCTTAGAACGTTCGTAAAAATTTTACACGCTATTATTATTGATAGCAATTGAGTAGCATTTTTTGTTTTGTTATTTATTCAATACATCCACATATATAAACACATTTCTATACATATGTCTGTTTTCCAGTGCCCAAGTAGCACTTTACTGTTAGAGAAAAAAGTCAATTGCTTCACTTTACTAGATAAGATAAATTGAACCTTATCTATTTGAAAACTGGGTACTTTAATCTGGTCATCACCTACGCATATTTTTGTTGGTATCGATTAATAATTCCAGATATTGCAAAAATATCAATGAAATCTTTGCTGTTTATACAGATTTATAAAGTTCGAAATTTTTGGCTTTTATTGGTTTTGTATGTCAATGTAATTTGATGTTAAAACGGATATTATCATTTTGTAATAAAGAAGCAAGGAAATTGTATATAGCTTTAACAACGTGTTCAACACCTTTGAAAGTTTAGCAGTGTTTCCGCATTCTTTCTCCATGGATTTCTCCGTTTTGTTTTCTCCGCGAGTTTTCATAATCAAACTTTATCTCCCATGTACGCAACGTGACAATTCCTTTGTGTATTATGCGCTTGCCGCAACATTTTACAATTAGTATAAACATTATAAATTTTAAAATCAAAATTATTTATTTAAATTAAGAAAAATCAGCTAATTAAATAGATAATATGCGATACGAATTGCAATTTTAGGTTGAAACATAATTCTGGATACATAGTGTATCCAGTCCATGTAGTAATTACTGCTACAATTCAATCGCACTGATGACAAATATTATAATTGCGATATAATTGCGTAACTGTTTGGGGAAGGGGGGGGGGAATCACTTGTATAATAGTTTTTTATATAACAAAATGTCTTGCTTATCGATTACAATAATATATAAACATATAACTATATGGATTAAAATTGCAATATAAGAGATATTTTTCTTTTTGTGATATATATATATATATATTACAATCAAATATAACAATTAAAATAATTATCAGCACAGATGCTCATACAAAAAAGTTTAACAGGGTCCTTTATTTGTGTAAATATTAAAGAAAATATTTTGCGACTTGCGTTTTTAACGAGCAAAATCTATCGTGAAAATCATTTTATGCATCGTATATAATTGCAAGAATAGTTCGTAATAGTCCGATAAACAGAATTGATCGCGTTTCTTGTAGAGCGT